TCTTCACGGCCCATCCCCGTCTATTCAGATGGATTTTAGGAGTCGGTGGTTTGTTATTGTCAGTATGATTAATGATTACTATTTACAACTCTGTTTATTTTCACAGTTTGCAGAAACAAAAAGGATGTTGAGAAAAGAAGTTCTGAGAATGTGGTTGTATAATTTTGTCTGGCAAAATGCAGTTGAGAGATAAAGAAAACTTATCATAAACTTTATTTATTCTGATCACTGGCTGTTTATTTCTATTTATGTTACTAATTCTAATTACTTTTCAGTTCAGACAAGAATTTACATTAAAACGTTTAGCTTGCCTGGTAAAATGCATTTAGTTTTTTTTTCCTGTTTAAATACATTCCTATTTTTTAAAAATAGATTCAGGTCTGTGTCATCATTACATTACCAACCCATTCAGTTTATTTAAAGATGAGCAGGAACATTTAAACTTGTTGATGTTGAGAAAACCATCTGGCAGTACTTGGCTAGCATAACAATTAGCCAATGTTTAGCGGCTACTTAATCAACAGTAAAGATGCTGCTATTTTACATAAATCAGCTGATTAGGAGATATTCTTTAAACAATAGTGTATGTTTTTTTTCTTCCTTATTCCATTCAACATAAAGTAAAAGTAATGAGCAGGAACATTTAAACGTGTTAATGTTTATAAAAGCAACTGGCAGCAGTTAACTAGCATAACAATTAGCTACTAGCAAGCTTGTTTAGCCGCTACTAAATCAACATAAAATAAGCCATTTCACATAAATTAACTGATTAGGAGACATTTTTCAAATGATTGCCGATGTTTTATTTATTCCATTCAACATATAACAAAATGCATTTTTGCTTTTGTTAAAGCTACCATTAGCATAAGTAGCAGGCTCTAAGCTAGGTGTTTAGCTCTCAGAATTAAGAGGTTTATCACTTTTTCCCATGAGAGAGAACAAACTCTTCACACTGACTGGGACTCAAATAGACGTTAAATACTTTAAAGTCCTGCCATTGTTATCCTACAGTGACAATTTCCTTAGAGGAAAAATATGTAAAGCATCAAAGTTCTTCTGTTACTGTTTACGTCTGACCAAACTCACATTATCTATAGACCATGGAAAACTCTAAAAGTCTGCTTTGAAACCTTTGTTTTTTCCTACATACCTCACTATGGTTTTGCTATGGTTCATTGCTGGGTTTCAAATTATTTCCAAAGAGGACATTTTTGGTGTCATAGCAGGAATTGCAATCTGTAATAATGTTATTTTGTTGGAAGAAAGTCCTGTATTTCTGGTATGTCAATCAATAAAATTACATTTGCTTTACAATAGCTGTACCTCTTAAAACAAGTCAAGATATTTTCTTTTTAAAAGTACTTTTATGAAGTTGTAGTTTACAATACATGGTCACTTCACTCAAAACAAACTGTCTTGTGATTACATCTGCAAGGATTGTAATATTGCTTTGCCAAAACCTGACCGCAAACATCCCAACATTCCACATTCAGATCATGCTTTCACAAACCCGAACACACAGAGTAAGAAGGCTTCACCAATACCATCGAAACAGAGCGGCCAGTGGGGATGTCAGCTTTACTTTGAAGTCTACAAGATTATCAGTGGCTGTTTTGACAAAACTGAGGCCTGTATAGATCTTTATCACTTCTCTGAATATTACTACATACTACCGTGTTCCTACTCGACTCCCTCTGATACAATTACTGTTCATGGTCCTATTGCTATTATTACTCTTATCATTATCATTAACATTACTATCACAATACTATCAATATCTGTACCATTTTTCATCCAGTCTATAGCAACACTACCATTACTTGTCTATTTGTTTATTTGGAGGCTGCACCCCCCCGATCTCTCTGTCCTTCTCTATCTCTGATTCTCTCTCTCTCTCACCCCCAACTGGTGGAGGCAGATGCCCCCCCACCCTGAACCGTGGTTCTGCTCCAGGTTTCTGCCTCCTAACGGCAGTTTTTCCTTCCCTGTGTCGCCCAGTGCTGCTCTTGGTGGGAACTGTTGGACTTCTGTAAAAAACTCAGAGTTGATCTGATCAGTTCTGTTTGGAAAACGCTGTGAGATACAGTACCTGCTGTTGGGATTGGGCCTTACATAAATAAAATCGAATTGAAATTTAACCTAACTGGCTAGTTTGGAAACACGATGACTCGTGAGTTTTTGAGTAAAACACGCTTATGGAAACAGGATGACAGATCTGTCGGTGGTTCTCTGAATGTTTCAACGGCCTCCGAAACCCGTCAGGTGTTGCTGTTTGGAGTGAAGTGGATTGATTTTGGTCTTGCTGACGGCTGTCTGTGGCTTGTTGTGGGTCATCCGCTCTGTGGCTGACAAAATTATTGGGTGGTGGACTCTGCTGAGCAATCATTTACGCCCGACGGTAGCACGACTGAGTCACCCTAAAGCTTTGGACGTGGGCTTTACTAAGAGAGGAAAAATTAAACAGAATGTCTGTTTTAATTTAGAAGCAACAGAATGATGAAAGTTTAGGATAATTTAATTTGTACCATCATCCTGCCTGATTTCTTTACTAATCCGGTATGTGCTCCTGTCTTATTTTTCTGTCTCCTCTTTGTTATCCCGTTTAATGAATGGTTTCTAAAGGAAAAGGCAGATGTAGCACAACAGCTTTTCTGTTCAGATGACTGGCATTTCAATCAGCCTCCTCTGTTTTTCAGGAAAGTCTCTGTTTGGCTGTAACGTCTCTCTCAGAGCGTGTGTGGACTCACACACACGCACACACACACACACACACACACACACACACACACACACACACATCCCCGTCTTTCACTGCGAGCGGGGATTTGCATGAGAAGTCCCCGCCATGAGAACAGGCCCCCTCTCCCATTTTCCTCCTTTTGTCCCGCTGTTCTTTTATTCCGAATTCTTCACACTTATTCCTCTTCCTCACTTTGTGCCGCTCATTATGTGAGAGAGCCGCGCAGCAAAAGAGCCCCCCAAAATCACCCCCCCCCCTCCCACCCCGGTCCGAGGCATGTGAACTCAAAAACAACCTAAAATTAGTCTTTATTTATTAAGAGTCGCGACTCACGGGGCACAAAGCACGGACAAAGTTGGGGTTTTGATTCATGCCGCGGCACACAGTGTCCTGGCTCTCTCTCTATGAGATCCTCGGCCAAAAAGGGGGTACAGAACTCCTCTGTGGACATTATTAGGGAAACAATGAGGCCACTGAAGCGTGTATCTGCGCTGCCAGAGCCGCTCTGAGCGTCATTCGGCCTCTCTAACCGTCTATATTTACCTGGTGCTCCTCGGTAGGCTTTTAACTTAAAAGTTAGGTAACAATTACCGCGAAGCACACTCCATGGCAACAAAAGATTATGAGCTTAACCTGCCCCGAAACGCACGGGGCTGAACGCTGCCCGCCCTGTTTGTGCAGCTGCAGCCTCCGCGGCGGCCACCGGGGGCGCTCTGACCTTTGACCCGCGCATTCTCCAAAGTGACCGAGCAAAACTGGCTCCACAGGACAATCGGGAAATGTTCAGAAATGGCTCTATTTTGAGTTTCTTGCCAATCTGGATCGCCGTTTTACAGCCTCAACCCGTCTGAATCGTTATTTCTCAGGCAAGAAATACTTTTTCTGAGAATCCTGAAAGCTGAAAAGTTCCCCGGTTGGAGGGAAATATGTGCACCAAGAAAGCAGCTGCAGGCACGATGCTCTTTGTTTGTATTTGGATTGTAATGCTGTGTAAAGGCTTTTTTTTTTTTTAATGGTACCCTGCTTTCTGTGCACCAATAAAAATGCAGATTTAACAGTGTAAATATTACATTTATTTCCATTCATGCTCAGCTTTGTAGTTTTTATGTCTATTTTTAATGCTAAATACCTTTTTTTTTAGAGTGTGTCTCTGTAATTTGTTGTTCCTGTGGCCTTGCTGCTGAATTACGTACCCTTTGGGGGACAAATAGAGGATTATTCCCTTCTATTCTAATAAGCTTTATTCATATTTCTGAGTAGGTGCATATCAGAAGCTGTTGCGTGGCCTTGAGCATTTTCCTAATTTAGTTTTGCTTTGGAGTTCAGGCTGTGTTTTTTTGGGGGGTTGATGCAGGGGCTTCCCTTTGCTTTGGAAAACTGGAGAAATGTATTTTAAACCGTCTGAAGCTGCGTGATGTAACGCAGGCAGGAGGTTTTACGGGGCAGATCATTTCAGAGGGAGGAAAAAATGCATCAGCGAGCGCCTTAAAGGGAAAAGCAGAGAGAGGACAGAGTCAACAGTACAGACACACACAGAATTAAGCAGGGAGACAAAAAATAAAACCGTAAAAGTGTGGGCTTCCTTATAATTCTGCTCAAATATAACAAAAAAATGAATAAATTTAGCTGAAATCAGGGTCAACTTTGCCTTCAGGGTAATTATTTTCTTCTTGTTTAATGTTTTTTTTTATCAGAAGAGAAAAGGAAGTCACGAGTTTCATCCATCCATTTAAGTCTTGCTGCTTTTTTTTAAAGTTTTGAGTTCTGACAGCCATTCAGAGCTTTCCTTTTCTTTAGCTGAGCTGGATTTGGTTTGTAGATGGAGATCTGAAACAACACATTGTGGTAAAGTCATAAACATTCATTTCGTCTCCCCAGATTTGGACCCTAAGGATGTTTGCTCGACACAAAAATAAAAGAAGAAAAGACTCTTTGCTTTTAGTCTAGCCAAAACCACTTTTTGTAAATACATTTTTGAGCGTGTATGCTTCTCAAAACAGGACTTTCCTCCCCATAAACTGACCTAAATGTTCAGAACTAAATGTCCAGAACTAGATGTTCAGATCCAGGCTGGCCAGAACAAAAGGTTAGGCTTGACTCTGTTCCAAAGTCTCGGAGTTGTCGCGACTTAAAATTCATGTCAGCACAGGGGAAACTTTTCCACAACAGTTCTGGCTCATTAGTTTAAATGCATTTGATTTGGAGTTTCTATTTTAAGCTGGTAATTAGAAAAGGGGACTAATGTGACACTTTATGACACTTTAACATAGTTAACAATTATTAAAATCCACATAATCCAACATAATTCATTGTAATCCACCAATAAATCTAAATATAATTGATTATATGTTTATATTCATACACTCTTCAAATAAAAAGAATGTAGATAAAAACAACAAATGGCTCAACTTAATTCAGATATCTAAATCTCGTTTGGCTTCACTTTACTTTCCCTCTTTTATAAATATCGGTTTTAGTGCAGACACAAAATCATTAAAAACACTATTTATGTTTATGAACTGTTACATGCAGGTGCTGCCTAAAAAACTGGCAAAAGAACTCAAAAAGAAACAAGCATAAATGACAAAATCTCAAAAAGCACATTAGGTTTCAGAGGGAGGATCTTCATCACCTTCACAGTCCACTTTCATCCTGCAAAAAGAACCAAAGTCACATGTTAGTTTCAGGAAGTGAGTTCCTGCTCTCAATAAATGTGAGTGTGTGTGAGTTAATGTGTCCGTTCCCCCTCAAATGCATCATGTACCGGCCCCAAAACGCCAGTAGATCTATCCCAGTACTGTACGTTCAACCACCTGCTAAACCTGAGCTTAATCTTCAACCCGTGGACACATGTTTGTGTCCAAAAGTACATGTAAACATTGGCAGATTTTGGGGCCTTTCGTATGTTTCGCCGAGCTGTTGGTTTATCCGTTATGGAAAGAAATGCGTCACAGCGCCGCATCTTTAGTTTATTCCCTAACATTTACGCTCATCTGAAAACAAATATAGGGAAAGTTGTGGAAGTTTTATGAGGCCTTAGTGTTTAGATCAAGAAGGAGAAGTTGTTTAATGCACAAAAATCCACAGTTTTATGAGCTAAATTGACAGCTTTGGCCTCCTTTTGCCAGTAAAAATCTCATTTTAGAAGAAAGAGGGTATGCACCCAGAGATTTTTTACAATATTCAGGTTTAGAAATACAAACTTTACAAACAGCATTAGCATTTGTTAGCTACTGTAGCTAACTCAGCAGCACACTGTGTTCTGTTGAGTTCAGTCTGTGTGATATTTCTCCTAATCTTTGTCTTTTTGGGGGGGATTTCATGCACCTACAAGGATTATAACAATACGCCTGTGACCTGTTTAGGGAATATGCTTTTCGTTAGCTGCCAAACTCCCTCTACGAACCCAAATCTCTTAATTTTACGCTCCCACAGGAGATGCATAAGTTTGGGGAATGGCTGTCACGTCCATGTTTTAAGTTTTTCTTTTTTCATATCAGCCATTGGCCCTCTGTTCTGTTGTCATTTACCTGCTTGTTCAGTTATTATAACATAAAATATCATTTCTAATTCATATTTAAGTCTGTTTCTGTGCAAACATTTGTTTAATTGAAATTGGAATGGACTATCTCCCCCACTAGAGTATTTTCTGTTCTATGCTAATTAAATGGAAGCCTTTTATGGTCAATACTGGCTTTAAAGTCTTCTTTACGGTATTCATGTAGACTCTTTGTGCTGTTGCCTTTAAAATGGAGCAGTTTATCTAACGTTTTCCATCGAGGGGCATAACAGCCGACACAATCCCGTAGCATTCACTCTGCCCACTTCCTTTCACACACAAGATCAGGACGGGATAAAGCTCCTTTTGGTCCATTACTCTAAAACTCCTTTTTGTCCTTTACTCTGCTCAATCATCGTCAGAGCTGATAAGGACTGAGAACCTCTCCCAGCAACACAGAGGCCTGGCTCACTTCCAATAAAAAAGTAAAGTAAATCAGCACCAAAAAATGTTGCTCAACGTTGGTGTGGCTCGGTTTTTATTGTTTTAGGGCCTTTTTTTTTACAGCTTCCGAGGCCTCTGACTCCCAGAAACGGCGTTCGCTACTCATTACTAAACGGAAAAAACACTCATTCACCAGATACGAAGCGAGCTTTCGTCCGGTTTGGGGCGTGTCCACCTACGTCTTTTCTGTCCCGGCAGTCCCCGCAGATGCAGCCCAGGCAGCCGTTGACCACCTGGATGCCGCAGAGCACCAGCTGCAGGATGCCGGTGCACAGGATGATGGCGAACAGCACCACGTGCCACATCACCGCGTTGTTGGGGAACTCGCACAGGGACCACAGGGTCTGGTTCGACAGGTAGCTGCCGCCTTCCCTGGGGGCCGAATGGAGAAAGTACAAGGAAAGGAAAAAGTGTGATGATATCTGCTGAAACACAAGCCAAAACAGGGAAGCTTCAATAGCTCCAAAACCCAAAAATGAATCTGACAATAAAAATTAAAGCTAGTTGTGACGTCCTCTACCCTATACATACATTTGCGGCCTTTTGGCTTCCACTCAATTGGCATTTTGATATAAAAATGACTTAAAAGTGATGTATCTAACTGGAAATACATCAAATGTACTTATATAACAACTAAACTCCTGATTTTTTATTAAATTTAAGCTCATGTATTGCTGGTATCAGCTGTAAAATGTGTTCTTGACCTAACCTAACAGCACATTTAATGTAGAATAAGAATAATAAAAATAAGAGACCCTGTTCAAAAATAACTTAATCACAATAATAAAGAAACGTAATGCCATCATCAAAGATTAAAAAAGCCGCTCATGCTGCTTTAAACCTCTCAGATTTGAGAGGAAACTGGATTTTTGTTTTTTGACCGCAAACAGATCGCGGAACGTGATGGAAGGCTCCACAGCTGACTGGATGGTAACCTTTAATCTCTTTAATCTAATGAGGGACCGAAGTCCGGTTATTCAAGCTCCGATAGCGCTGCCAGATTACGTCCATTTCTTTGATGACTTGTCTTTATCGATGACTAATCGTGACACAATCGAGCAAAGAAGTGGTTCGATCTGCTGTGCATTTTAACCCGAGGCCCACTGGCAGTAGAGGGCCTCATTAAAGTCACCACAGATAAGTGGGAATATTCCTTTTTCTTTTTGTTTCAAAGTTAGAAAACAGTCCTTTCCCCCGTGGGAATGATGAGGGTTGGGGTTGGGGAGAGGGAACCATCGGTTCACGTGTGCACGGCAGAGAAACAGAAACAAAGGAAGGGGAAACTGAGGCTTCCTGGAGGAAGCACGGAGTCCCCATCGCCGGGTCATTAAACAGGGGCCCTCCCTTCTGGACTATTCAAACATTTAACATCTCAAATCACCGGCAGGGCAGGTGCTTATTTTCCCAAGAGAGAAAACCAGAAACAGGACTAACAAGCTGCTTTAGAAAAGGAGAAAGTAAACACTGGAGCAGTGCGCCATCTGCTGGGACAGAGGCAACTTTACATTTACAAGATTTCGACATTTTTTCATGGGGAATTGGGAGAAACGGTCAGGGGAAAGCACTCACAGTTCCTCGAAGGGGTTCTTCCATTCTCCTCCGGCCACCTGGCAAATGGGCCCCACGGCCAGACCAGCGGAGGCCACGCTGGTGGAGTAAAGCGCTCCGATGAGCCCGAACGCCGAGGAGAAAACCGAGTTCAGCATCTGAGGGGGAGGCGGGATTAAGATCCATCCATAAACACGATTCACCCCTCATATGTCGTCACCTTTATATCTAAATATGTCCCAAAATGGGGCCTCCACATGAGGAACCTGAAGATGCTGACACCTAAAAACACCCGAACTCATCACATGTACGTTTTCTTTGCCATTTTTTCTAATTAGTTGTTTAAACAGTCCTTTCTTGGTGAACTTTAAAAGAGCTTTAAAATGTAAAATGATAAAATCTTACGCTGTTATGTAGATCTATATATGTACTATGTACTTGAATCTGAATTTGAAGAAATCCTGGTAGGTTGTAAGGTAAAAAATAGGGTAGGCAAGAATAAGCTTTGCTTCGGCCTATTCCTTTTTTGGTAAACTGTGGGTTTGTCTATCGTTCTTTTCTTTTTTTCTTTTGTTGTTTCTTGTGTTTAATGTGGACAATTCACTAAAATAAAGTGATTGATTGATTGATTGATTGATTGAACTGTCCTTTTGCGTTCGGATACCAGGTCAAATCTGTGTGTCGTGTGTGTACATTTGGCCAATAAAGCAATAAAGCACAATTGACTGTTTCACAAAAAATGTTTCACTATCCAAAATGTAAAAATAAAAACTTTTGATTAGAAATCAAAAGTTTTGATTAAAAATAAACACGATTTTCCCTCATATGTCGTCACCTTTATATCTAAATATGTCCCAAAATGGGGCCTCCACATGAGGAACCTAAAGATACTGACACCTAAAAACACCCAAACTCATCACATGTATCTTTCCTTTGCCATTTTTTCCAATTTAAACTGTCCTGTTGCGTTCGGATACCAGGTCAAATCTGTGTGTGTCGTGTCTGTACATAAAGCGATAAAGCAGAATTGAGGGCAAAAACTGTTTCACACTCCAAAATGAAAAAATCTAAAGTTTTGATTAAAAATCAAAGTTTTCCAAAATTAAAAAAATAGTCCAGAAACAGGAACGTAAAGCTCGTTCAGGCGCTCTTTGATAAGATGTGCAGTTCCTGGTGATTAAGGATGGCGTTTATGACACGTCGAAGACTGAGGAGGACGCCACTCACCCGGCAACGGTTGCCACAGCAACCTGCTCCGCAGCAACCCTTGCCCCCGGCCCTGATAGCCGAGCAGCTGGGGCACAGCATCTGAAACGGTGGGGAGAGGAAACATCATCCGGGTTATCAGGGGAGAGCCAGATATGGTCGCCCGGGCGATAGCACGCCTCCAAAAGCTGGGAATCCCCCTGGATTTTTCGTTTATTAATAGGAATAAATGCAACTTTTTTAGTGCCAGAGCAGGTTTTTTATTTTTTGTCAAAGATGTTATTAGATTGATGTTAGTTCCAGATCTTTTAGGGTTTGGTTAAAGTAAAAAACTTTACATCAGGTCCCCATAAGTGTACAAAAACCAGCCTGAGTCAGTGTTTTCTTATCTCTTTAAGCAAATATTGGTGAAGCCTTAATCAAAAATGTACTCTTGTTCCAACAAACGGAGTCCTGGCATCCACACACGTGCAGAAGTAAGGGACAACATTTTTGCGTTACCATTAAGTTATTTGTTTGTCAAAACATGACGTTAAAGGAAGAAAGGTCAAAGGTCGCGCTGACTCTATGTAGGAGGAAATATTTATAACACCTTCGTTAATTTTTACTAGTTCACATAATGGGATCTTTGTATTTGTCCTGATAACAAACAGGAAGTCGGAGTTCGTGTTCTTTAACCGTCAAGGAAGAATAAAGTACAGTTTATCACAAATTATTTAATTTTAACACGTTTTCCTGCCAATTTGAAGCTTTTTTTCCGTACATTTAGCCTATTTTCAAGCTGGTAAAGGAACTGTGACTGAAGTGTAAACCACATGTTTGTTATTTGATTTTTTAAATACTTTAAGAATAATAGTACAACAAATGACGCTGTTTTTGTCTTACTGTAATCTTTACTGTTAAACTTAGACCAATGTATTGATATATAGTATTTTTTCTTCTCTGAGGCACATTTTAAACCCTATGGGATTTTAAAAAAATAAAAAGCAAACGCAGACAAATGCAGAAAATCTGGACAGACTTTTCTTGTAAAACTAAAGCTTATAGATATAAAACTAAATAGAGACCAAAAAGCGTGTCATACTTGATTGTACCCCTCAGTAAAACTCCATAAAAAACCCATTTGGTCTTAAATGTTTACACACGGCTAAGGTAATGACAGAAAACATCAATAAAGTCAAACAGCAAAGTCAAACAGCACTTACAAAGAGGCCTCCTCCGATGAGCCCCCCCATGAGCCAGACCTGGAGGGAGATCTGGTCGGTGTCCAGCTGCTTCCCATCGGGGAAAAACAGCAGCAGGTTGGAGATCATGCAGATGAAGGCCGAGGGCAGCAGGATGAGGCCCACCAGGCGGGCGCATTTTCCGGTACAACACATGGCTCAAAGCTTCTCTCTGCTCTCTCCTTCTGCCTTTTCCGCCCTTCCTCTCAGAGTCAGAGGACGAGTCGGGGATGGGGAGCGAGACCTGAGGAAAAAAAGGGCGGCGATCGAGAGGGGAGATCACCTCTGACGCCCAGTCAGCAAAAGCCAAACAGCCGGAAAGAGACGAGGAACAAAGGCCGCCTGAAATCGGGTTTTTTTTTCAGGTTACCTGCTCACAGGTCTCAGATAAAGAGGAGAATCTTTTTCTTTTTGCTGCAAAAGATCAGTTTTAATCCCAAACTAAGCGGAGAGTGGAAGGACACACTGTAAATAACTCTGTGTGTGTGTGTGTGTGTGTGTGTGTGTGTGTGTGTCTGTGTGTGTGTGGTGTGTCTATCAGTGCTGAGTGCCCTTTGATACCTGATTATCACTCTGTATGTTCCATTTATGGCTCGTTGCAGAAACTCCACAGGGCAGGGCCCATTTTCCTAATGAGTCCATATTTAAGAGATAAGAAGTGGAAAGAAAGATTGAGTTTATTCATTGATCTGTAAACTTTAAGAGTTACAGAAGGGAAACTCGAACTGATAAAAACGTTTAAAACTGCCATTACTTTAAAGCCCAACCCAAGAAAAAAGGATTAAAAAACATTTTAAAAAAATTTAAATCTGATGTCTGTTTCTGAGAAATATGTAGAAGAAGCTGGTAGAATACCTTAAGAAAAGGATAAAATAAATCTATAAACTCTTTTTAAAAAGCTTCTTGTTTTTTTTAATTTTTATAGATTTTTATCACTTAAAATTTTATTCCCACATTTATATTTATTTATCTTATACTATGTGGGGGCCTCTATTTGTAATGTAGTTTCACCTCGTAGCCAGAGGTTGCTGGTTCTGATCCTGGCCGGGGGCCTTTCTTCTCTCCATGCACGAGTAGATTGATCACAGCTTCCTGCCACCCACAAAAACGTGCCAGTTGGGTTAATTAGTGACTCTAAGTGCAGGGATCCCCTTCATCTCTGTGCTCCAACCAACTCCAACCCTTTAACATCCTTTTTTTTGTTGGTATTTTTTACATTTCTTAGGATCAATTACAACCAGAATGTTTCTTACATACTTTATGGTAATGGGGTCATAATTCATAAATGTCTTAATTCACAAAAAACTTGATTTTAGAGATAGTTTAGGTCAGAGCATTTCCTCCAGTTTATCCTGTGACTGAGCCTAATCAGTGAAAAAGGGATGAGCAGGATGTTAGGATTGGACTGACGTCTTATAATAAAACTGCACGTTAATGAATACAAACTATATGAATTTATGCAAGACTGTATTTTGTTTCGCTTTTGCTTTCTCTCTTTTGTTTATAACCACCACTTTGCCAGCTGACTGTCAAACAGGCCGACCCAGTAAAATGCCAACCAAGGAGAACGACGTCTGATAGCAGAAATCCCCTCTGGCCCATAAAGGCTGCGGGATGTTGGCGGCTGGAGGCGTCTGAGGCAGAGCTGCGTTTAGGGGAAACAGGACGCCTCTTCAGGAGAAATGGCAGGTGAGTCTGGACCTGCTCATTTGAAAACATAATTTTTCGATGCGTGTTTATGTATTCTTTTCAAAATGATTCTGCCAATAACGAAAGCTTGAAATGAATCAAATAACTTCCTGTATTTTTCTTGGTTGTTTCTCCAGGGAAAATTAACATTTCTGTCAGAAATTGCAACAAGATTTACTCTCTACATAGATAAAGTACATTTTTACACAACGAAACAACCAAATCTGTTTTGCTAGCTACTGTTTTCACGTTTATTAATTAAATCCTGTAAACATTCTGAAATTTTGAACGAGTGCAGTACAAATAAACTGTATTTCTATCCTCATAATTTTATCCTTATTGATGGATGTGGTTAGTCTGACCTGCTGTTTTAGCTCTGATCAGATTTTGTCTACTCTAAGCTCGTTGATAAATGTGGTCAAAACTATGTAAACGGTCAAGATGGTTCACAATATTAGAGAAGACTGCTCTGAATTCTCCTCAGCCCCGTCGGCCGATCGTCCTGTGAGAATAACCATTGGAACCGTGTGGAATTTGCAAATACAGCCTCAACCCCGGAGACTCCCAAGACTATCAGGTCAGTGGATGTGATTTAAACTCTGATGTCCCGGTTTGTCACAGAGCTGTGAATCAAATCCAACTTTCAAGAAGCACGTACTTTTCAGTTTTAAAGGAAGTGTCGACTGAGTTGTGGGGTCATTTTGGAGGATGTGGTTTGTGCGAGATAAGTTTTGTTCTTTTTTTTCAAATTACTTTGACTTGTGTTTTTATAGGTAGGCCACTCAATGCTTAAACTTTGATATGAACACCTAAAAGAGTGAAACTGCAGAAAAGAGGAAGCAGTCATTCACAACAGCGAATCTGAAATTGCAGTTCCACCTATGGACACTAGATGGCCTCAGATAGCCTCTGCCTGCAAAAGGCTGTTTAAAAATGTCCACATAACTCCTGAAAGTGAAAGATTCCTGTCATCATTAAACAGATATTTTGGTTGAAAAACAAATGTTAGACCAGTTTTTAAGAGGCTGAAGTTTCAGTCAGTCTTTTGAAGTCAGCATCTTAAAGTTAAACTTCTTCTGAACTTTGCAGTTGCAGCCGTGATCATAGGGGCCGTCCTGCTAGTTACCCGAATAACTTTTGGTGCGTATTTTGTTGTTTTTTTCTTACATCTGAGGCTGTATCTGTGTCGTAGCAACACTCTATCAACCCCCTCGTCTCCCCACAGGCGCTGTGTACTTCAGGGACTGTCCCCAGCAGCCCAACATCCCCATCTACCTGCTGGGGCTGGCTCTGGTCTCCCTTCTGTCCGTCTTGTTTGTGACCCTACCTTGTGAAAGCGAGGCGGCGCCATCCCGGAGACATCCCAAAGGCCTCAAAGCATGTCTGATGTTTCTTATGAGCGTTTTTATCCTCATCTGGATCCTGCTTGGTAAGAACGACCAGAATCGGAGGTTACTTACTGTTATACGATATATACTTATTGTTTACTTTGGTGTCTTTAACTTACCTCCAGGTGATGTGTGGGTTTTCTCCATCTATCAGCCAAACTATGACCCATCAGCGGTCGACGGCCTTTACTGTAACAGGACCCTGTACACCTTTGCTTTCTGGAATGCCATCTTAGAGACTTTTAGCCTTGGAGTGGAATTGGCCAAATTCTGCAAAGGCATGCTGGTTTACGTGGTCCTGAGTCCCATACCAGCAAACACAAACCTCCACGGGCACGTCTGAGCTGTTCAAATGATCCCATATGAGGCATGTTTACTATAAAATTATGGAGAAAGAAAACCACGATGTGTAGCAAAATATTTATGAGCTCTCGGTAAACATAACCGGCCTTCATCTTTAATAAAGCAACAAAGCAGAAGCCCATCCTGTCTGATATTATTGTTATAATAGATTACATTAATTGAAAGTCTCAGGGCAAACAAATGGCCTCTTAATGAAAAAAACTCAGTCAGGAACTTTGAACTTTGACCGGAGTTTCTTCTTTGTTGTGAAGTCTTTTTGTAAATATTTTTATTTCAATCTTGGGTATCTTGTAATGTTTAAAGAAGATCTTCCACATCTTTTCCCTCATATAATTAAGCACTTTAAAAAACATTTCTGTCAAAAAATAAATAAATGACCCTGTATATAAATGCAATTAAAGAATAGTGTCTATATCATTCGTGTCATCAATGCTCTAGTTATTTCTTATTATTCAATTTGTCTATTCATTCATTTGTTTGTCTATTTGAATTAAAATACTCATAAACAGAGAGTTTGGTTTGTTTCTTGACTCTAAATAGGTGTAAAATGCGGACTTGGGGGGAGTTTTCGGGCTGTTTTCCCCTGAAAAACAGGTGGAGCGCGCTGGGCCCCCTCAGCCAATCACGTGAGGCTAAACAACCACGTGCAGCTGTCAGCGCGAGCTCCGTCCCTGTCTGACAGCGCGTCCCCGGAGACCAAAAAGCTGAGAGAAAACACACTTTAAAACACGCAAAAAGTCACCGAGTCGTCGCCTTTATCCGTAGAGTCCACTTAAAGGGCAGCGGACGGCCTCAGCCGGCCATGACAGGCAAGTCCAGCTCACGCACGCGCTCCCGCACGCGCTCCCGCCGCCGTCAGACGTCGTGTCACACGCACCGGTCTCATGTCAGTTGAGTTTACGCCGTCAGACCAGCATACGCATAGTCAATACGCATGCGCAAGCCGTCAAACCAACGGCTCCGTACATTCGGAACTTGGTGCCAAATACGCATGCGCAAACCGTTTTTCCAACGGCACCTCCGTACATTCGGAACTTGGTGCCAAATACGCATGCGCAGTGCGTATGCTGGTTTGACAGAAGTCCGGATCTGGGACGCTGTTGTAGAGACAACGTGCTGTGCTTTGTGTCGCGCGCAGATAAAGTGCACGAGCTGGTGTCCAGGTGCCTGCAGGCCCGGGACCTGGCTTACTGTCCCTACAGCCGCTTCCCCGTCGGTGCCGCCATCCTGACAGCAGAGGGCGCCATAATCACAGGTAAACCGCCAGCAGGTGACCCAAAGGCAGGGAAAAGGTGGAGGGGCCTCCATTTTTTTTTTGTTGTTGCTGCTTCTCCACATTCCAGAGAGACGGCTGGTACTTTTCCCTGGTTGTTTTTCCACTTACGGCTCATTTCAGAGTTAATTTATAGTAATTTGTCCTTCTCTAATGACTCCGTTATCCTTATGTTTTTAAGTGATTTCTTGTGCATGCTCATTTTATTGAAACCCTGGCACAACAATGTCCTGCAGGATCAATAAAGTTCTAATCTTATCTAATCTTATCTTAGCTTTCAGCCTCAGGACATCTGCCGCATGCACATGAATGCATCCGTATTTATCACACGGCTAAAATGCACAATAAATCAAACCTAGAAGAGACATAAACTTGATTCGGTGGCATTTTTATATTCATAAAAAATAACTTTTGTGTCCATTGAGTATTTTTTCATTTCCCCAGTTAATTTATCAGGTACAGTTTTGGCACCTGTTCGACAGGTGTTCCAATCAGGCTGCTGATTGGCCGATGAGCATCACATGATAGCAATAATTGGCTCCACCAGGTGAACCGCTCCCATACAGCACCAGACATTGTTCGATTTCACTTTTTCTGTTTTGAATACCTAACAGATGAACAAACAATACCAAAGTTCAGCCGGTTTGTTGTTGCCACGATGTTCCACGTGTTTGTTTCTTTTTCCACTACAAAGAAATGATGTCACAGGCCAGTCGGCCAGCCTAAATGTGAGGACCTCTACTGTAATGTAAAAACACCTAAATGCAGTCGAGGGGAGGCAAGTGGAGCTCAGTACCAATGAAGAACCTACATAAATCTGCCTAAAAGCCAACTGGGGGCCAAGATACTTTCGAGCCCTGCATTAAACTGTTTAAATTTATGGTCTCTTAACATTTTTGTGGGCGTTTTGATGTCATATTCTTCAACTTAACATCAAAATCGTGTTATCAAACTGTCATCATTAGTTTCTACGAGCATGCTGGGGAGGAGCCCTGGATTTTTTCCATAGAAAAATCCAAAGTTGGAAGACTTAAAAGCGGTTTCGGGGCCTCTGACCGGCTGTTTTTCTGTCCGCGCAGGCTGTAACGTGGAGAACGCCTCGTACGGCCTGACGGTCTGCGCCGAGAGGACGGCCGTCCAGAGGGCCGTGGCCGAGGGCCACCGGCGCTTCCTGGCCATCGCCGCCACAGGGCGCGGCGCCCCCGCCCCGTTTAAAAATAACCCCCCCCCCCCCCCCGAAATAACAGGGTCTCATCCTGTCCTCCTCTCTGTGCAGCGACATCAGGGACCGGTTTGTGGGGCCGTGCGGAGCCTGCCGACAGGTTCTCATGGAGGTGCGAGTCCCAAGGGTTTGGGTTGGTTTGGCTCATAAATCAGAGATAAATCCAATTTCCTCATGTCACATCGATGTTTTTACAAGGCTTCTGCACCAGGAAATACTATAGTTAATACCAGTTTCCTCGTGGAGAGGTGCTGCTTTTCAGTGGAAAAATCAAAACTGTGAAATGAAGAAAGGAATACCAATAAGACATGTGGGTGGTGAAATATGCGTCTTATCTCGTGGTTATCGCGATAAGGACCACAGTCTTACTCCTAACTCTTTGGCTTTGGTACATTTTGTCTTTGCCAGATAAGCTTTTAACAAGGCGGTCAGATTTATTTGCTGTACAATTCTCTATGATTTTCAATTAAGTGATTTAGATAGCAGGGAAAATCTGTGAGAGTGATTTTTTCAGGGACTTTGGGATTGGAATAGATGTTAGAGAACAGGATTTCTAAAGAATACAATTAAATAATTACCACTTTCCACCCTCATAAAGCCATAAATGTCCTCATGCAGACTTAGTTTCTTTGTGTTTCTCAACAGTTCGGATCAGACTGGACTGTGTACTTGACCAAACCGGATGGAACCTACAAAGAGACCAGCCTGAGTGAACTGCTGCCTTTAGCCTTTTCCCCAGAACACCTGAAACTGAACTGACCCCAACATCTGATTCTAACGAGGCCTAAAGCAAAGACAGACACAGCTTTGTTCAACTCACAATGTTACTTTACATTCAAGTAAAGCAAAATCGTTACAGTACTCATTTTTCACTTTCATTAGTTAGCTTTTACTCTCTAAGGAAACTTTCCATACCTTAATAAATATTCATTTAGTCTTTGCCTTCTTCTTCTTCTTGTAATTATTGTTGTTGTTGGAGCAATTGATCTGTTTTCTGATGACTACACTTTGTTTTTTCATTTTAAGACTACATGAATTATACTTAAGATGTTTATTTCAAACAAATTCTGCTTTTAAGTTTTAGGAGTTTGGGGAAAATAGGAAGGACTATAGAAGATAGGCAGGTATGGGACCAGCATGCACCTGGGTCGGGTGAGCTTATGGTTCTTACCAGCAGGAAAAAAAAAATATTAAAAATCTACCTCGATTGTATCTGTACAGTTTTTTATCTTTGCGTTTTAGATGATATTAATTATTATTATTATCATTATCATCGTTATTATCATCATCATTATTATTATCATCATTATTTTTATGGCGGTTCAACGGAAGTAAAAAAAAACTGATGATGACGTAGGCACTGTTGTGTCATGTGACTAAAAGTGGGCGGGCCGGACACCGTTTCCCGGAAACATGGAGGCTGTGTTAAGTGATGTGGTAGCTCCTGAGGACCTTCTAGTAAGTTTCTATGTTTCTAAACCTCTTCTCTGATATAAAACGAACATAAAGACACACAAGACAGTCGCGTTTTTCAGTTTACAGCTTCTGTTTCGGCGGTAAACGCTGACAGCTCGTCTAAATTGATCGTGACGAGCCGTGTGATGTCGCGTCACAAGCTAATGCTAATATTGATATTTATGATCCAATTTTGGAGTTTTTAGTCATCTTAGATAACGTGTTAGACATTTAACTTATACCAGCAATGGTCTGGGAGCAGTACGCGACTGTTGTAGATTTAACTCACAGGAATATTTGTCCTAATTTCTAAACAAGTATTACATAATAAAAAAAGTCCCTAGCGAACCAACAGGATCTGCATAAAGGGCCATTTCGGTTATTTGTGGAACGGAGATCATGCTAGTTTGAGTCATATTTAAAGGCTTAACTAGCTTTTTCGGTCTCATATGTTCTGATTTATTATTTAGGATATATTTAACTAAACACATTTACTTTGATTAAACGTTACTTCTTTTGGTGAAAATTTCAGAAAATGTCACTTTGATGTAATTATTTTAGATTTGGTCAACGTGAATCACAATAGTACTTATTTATTTAATGTTTTGTAACTATTCAGGTTCAACACATGAATGATTTGGGCTTCATTAATTCACCTTTGACTTTATATTTTAGTGTTTGTAACAAACAACTTAACCACTGTTGATTATAAGTCCCCATTCAGGCTCAGTTATAACTTCCACGTTTTTATAAGTGAGAAAAAACTGTTTAGTTGCTGTAATATATATATAATAGCAATTAATTTGGTCAGTAGATCTGGTGTATGACTAGTGTACAACAGTTCCAGTAATGAAAATCAAACTCACAGCTTTTCAGAATTATGAAAGCACAACTTTGTGATCAGTTTTAAGCTTTGTGATATAACCATTTGTCTACGTTTAATGTATAGATAAAAACAAACTCAATTAATAGAGTATATTTAGAGGGAACTTTTATGATTTACACAAAAAAGTAGAAATATTACCTCTGTTTTTTTTTTTACATTTCCACAGATAAATAACAATGATAATAAATAATCATTTTATAAATTGCAATGAGTGTATTAATGAATTTGTATCCTCTGTGAGAACATTTAGTTCATATTTGATCGATACAAATTTAACAGAGTGATGTCAACTTACTAAAGAGGTGAAAAAGATTATTTTCGTTCCGGCAGAAGTTTGAGAAGAAGTACAACAGCGAGCTGGTGAAGGGCACTGTCTCCAAAGAAACAAAGTTTGAATATGCTTGGTGTTTGATCAGGAGTAAATACACTGAAGATATCAAGAAAGGAATTGTTCTCCTGGAGGGTAAGTTCATTTTATCAGAACGTATCTGTAGATTTATGTTAAATGGAGGCTTGGGAAAGGAATTTGAAGCTTTCTCCTTTGATTTTGGATACAATTCTGCCCGAGTATCTCCAACTTTGGTGTTTTTTGTGTGAAATTGTCTTGCAGAACTCGTTCAGAAAGCATCAAAGGACGACTCCCGGGACTTTCTGTTCTACCTGGCAGTGGCCAACTACAGACTCAAAGTGAGTGATGCCTCTGGTTTTATCGTGGCCAAAACTCCCTGTGAAAAATGTGCACTCGTAGGACATGAGAGAAGATAAAGACAAACAGAAACATTCCTCCTGTGTGACACGGCCTCTCATTAATCAGACGTAACAGAGAAGAACAAAGGCTTTCCTTTATCCTTCTTTCTCCCAGAGGGTGTTGGTCAGTGTTGTGCGATTTGCTTCCAAAAATAGCAGCGGGGCCCAAATTCTGGTGAACCACAGAATTAAAGCCAAACATGTTCTCGCTTCCAATGATCTGCGATTGTCATCCAGGTCCAGCCGGAGATGACCGTGGCCCCGGTCAGGGGCCTGAAGCCTGTAGAGGGAGAGGGTTTTTTATTATTTCCAAACCAAATTCATCCAACAAAGAAAAGGCCGTCGGTGGCAAGAAGTGATTAGTGTTCTTGACACACTTTGCTTTTATTTCTTGTAAAGTTATAGGGAAATAATAACCCAAAATTCATTGTAACTGTGATGCAAATATAAGGTAAAAAAGATGATCAAAAGGTTAAAAAAAAAAAATCATTGTTTCCAAACTTCCCGTCATCACATTCTTATCCTCTCAAATTAATGGGAGGAGCTTAAAAAAATTACCAAATAAATCATAATAATTCCAAACAATTTATTTAAATATGGTTTTGTTCAAACTAAAATAAATTTGAACTACTTAAAATTAAACAGGACATGTGAAATACATAAAGTGGACTTAAATGGCCACAACGTGGTTATTGGGTTCTGTCTGAACTGTGGCGTTTGCGGCGTGTTTCCTTCCAAACGGCTAAAATCAAAGCCCACATTGTCTGCCGCCGGCGCCGGCTGGTTCTGATCACGTGACCGAGCAGAAAGCCCTCCGACACATAGACCAGTCATTCTGGGTCCTACTAGGCTTGACCCGATCCGATATGTGGATCGGATCGACCGCCGATATTCGCCAAAAAACTGTGTATCGGCCGGCAGGAGAAAATGCAGATCCAGACTCCAGATCCAGTTTTGATCCCACATTAGCATTAGCATTAGCGTCTCCTAACCCACAGGTCTGTGTCCTAACCATTAAGTTGTTATCAGAGTAAATCCCTGTTCAACATGAGTCTGACCACTAAGTAAGTAGATAAATAACTTTAAACTTTAACACATGCTCTGATAGGCCGGGATCGGTATCGGAAGTGAAAAAAAGCTGGATGGGGACATCCCTAGGTGCCACGCTGCAGCCTTTTGGCTTCCCAGCAGAACTGTGTGCAGGTTGGAATTGAATTGAATTGAATTGAATTGAATTGGAAGCCTTTATTGTCATTGTACACAGTACAATGAGATTTGGAGAGCAGCTCCATAAAAGTGGACACATAAATAACACATGCATATACAATACATTAGTGCAACTGGAGTACTAGTACTAATCTGGACTAGTCAAAAAGAGTCAATTTTTTTGTTCATTTAGCAGTGAGGATTTTAGTTCCCTTATCTGGCTCTTTTATCTGGTGCCAGCCTCTGCTCTCCCTCACCAGCCCGGGCAGATAACCAATCGGGTCGTTTGTCCGCAGGTCAGGACGATCTGCCTCCCCCCCTCGGCCCTCAACGAGACCCACGCTTCCGATCGGGCGTCGGCCTGATTTTTTCTGCTTTCCGCTTTTTGCAGGAATATGAGAAGGCGCTGAAGTTCATCCGGACCCTCCTGAGGAACGAACCGGGGAACAAGCAGGCGCTGGAGATGGAGAAGCTCATCGACAAGGCCCTGAAGAAAGGTACAGGGGGAGAGACGTGTGCAAGGGGGTGGGTTTGTCCAGGGATGCCTGTCCTGACCTCCTCCTGTCGTCACGCAGACGGCCTGGTCGGCATGGCGATCGTGGGCGGCATCGGCCTGGGCGTGGCCGGCCTGGCGGGCCTCATCGGGCTGGCCGTGTCAAAGGGAGCTGCCAAATCCTAACCCGGAGGAGGACCCCGCTTCCGCAATTTGCTGGACTTATTCACTCAACCTGCGTTAAGAATAACAACAAAAAAAAAGAAGAAATTAAACTAAATATCTGAAGGCGTGTAATTTTGGGTTTGGAGCCGAAAGCTTTTTAATAACGGCACGGAAGTGGTTTGATACGCTTTGCTCTCTGCACTCGTTGTTTTTCCGTTTGTGTTTAAAAAAAAAAAAGAACGTGTTTTTCTGAAAGCCGAGACGTGCTTCTGTTTTGGGGTCGGGTTTATTTGTCTTTGAACCGTGAAGGAAAGTGTTTTCCGGGAGCAGAGAAACGTGAGCAGGACGTCCAGCTGCTGCTGCTGACCAGGAGCCAGATGTTGGCAGATGTTGGCATTTGGGATTACAGGGACCTGACGCAGCTCCTCCCCGTTTTCCTGCTTTTCCAGACAGATTCCCACCGGCTAACTTCACCTGTTTGTCATCTTGTTGAAATAAAGTCATTAAGAGAGTATTTTCGCTGTCAGGAAATATTTGTGGAAGGTGTTTTCTGAACCATTTTGGGCACAAAATGAGAGAAAAATGGCGGCTGTAGATTTCACAATGAGTGGATCATCTGTCCTCTAAATGATTGTGTGGAGAGCTCGGACCCAACACTAAAAATCCTCTAAAAGTGTTCAGCCAAATGCTGCTGTAAAGTGTGGACATAAAGATGCTTATTAATGTCAATTCTTAACACACTGAATAAAGTTTCTGCTAAAAGACAAATATATGGCCTAACCTGCAAAAGTAACGGAGTGTTTCTTGCTGCAAATCAAATAAAAAGTTTGGTTTTATTGTATTTCTTATTTACGTATATATTTATATGATGATTTATATGACAATATTCATCAAATACTATTTAATATAATTGTAGTTTTTTATTTAATCTAATCAATGATTTCATGCAGAGGAAATATTCTCTATGACATAATTTTCTAAAAATGTTTGACTATATGATGATGGAAAAGGACTTTTAAAAAATTCTATGTAGGTTTGTCTCCATATATAAAGTGTCATATCTGCAAATGTGCAAATAATCCATTCCTTTAAAATGAAATTTCCTCCATTTCAGGTTGAGTGAAGCTGTTTTTTAGGAATAAAGCAGACATTTTACCCTCATATTTTTTCATGTAAAGCGGCATGAAATGGACATAGTTTGATATTATAAGGAGCTAAAAGGCTTTAAAATGTGTTTATCTGTTTAAAAAGCATTCTAAAAAAAAGTACATAAAAACTACATGGTGCTTGGAAAAGCAGACGTTTTCCATTCATCTAAACCTGCTTCTGCTCCATTATTATTATGTTCGTCAAATCTGTCTATTTAAACATGTATGCAAATAATTAATTCTTTTAAAATGAAATTTCCTCCATTTCAGGTTGAGTGAAGCTGGTTTTTAGGAATAAAGCAGACATGTTATCCTCATATTTTCATGTAAAACAGCCTGAAATGGACATAGTTTGATATTATAAGGAGCTAAAAGGCTTTAAAATGTGTTTATCTGTTTAAAAACCATACATAAAAGCTACATGGTGCTTGGAAAAGCAGACATTAACATCCATTTACCTAAACCTGCTTCTGCTCCATTATTCGGGCGTTCGGTGGTTATGATCAGGTATTGATGAGGCAAAAGTCCACCATTGGCTCGTTCAAATCGCTGTCATTTATTTACTCCTCGAGGAGTTGATGGAAAAGTCTGTGGGGGGGGGGGGCACGGCCCGCCTCCACCGCCCTCGTATCTCGATCCCCGGCGAGATTCAAGCCGCCGGCAGGGTTTTACGACGGGAAACGCTATCGCTCGTGTTCGGCCTTATCAGCCTCCCGGGAGGTCACTCATTAACCCGGCCGAAACCTGGCAGGGCCTGACCGGGGAACGGGTCATCTCTGGGGACCGGGTTTTTTGGACCAGGCCTGAAACACCAAACGCCTAATAGGCCGGTCCTAAATGTGTTTAGACCCTCTTAGACATCAATGATTCATTAGAGGAGGTGTAATTCGGATCGGCTTCAGTGAATCCGAGCAAGAGGGCCAACGTTCACGGAGGGGTATTAATGTGTAATCACCGTGTGGGAACAGAGGAGAACCGAGAACACCGCGTGTTACCTGTAATTTCAGGTTATTGTGTAAACCAGACCTGGTTTATTGTCTGTCGCCTCACACGATTGTGGACACTGACACGAAAAAGGCCGTAAATTTGATCGCTTTTCAATTTTACGTCGGGTTAATGTGTAATACTTCTATAATGTTTAGCTGTATTTTGTTCGATAGCCTTGAGGGACTTCAAAAGACGCAAAACATCGAAGAAAAAAACGTAGCCGTCCTGTGAAATTAAAGCGTAGCCTCAAAGGTTTCCTGGTTTTCCTCGTGTATGTGAACTTAGTTTGTGCTGGTTTGGCTGTAAATCACTCCACATCAGAGCCGTGTGGGAATTCACATACCAACGTTAACTCCTTTTTTACAACATTGTTCCAATAACAGCATCTTTTGAGGGCACTTTAGTGCTTTTTAGCCTCCTGTAGTAGCTCATAAATTAAAACAGCTCATAAAGGGTGAGGTAGAACTAGAAAATCTAAATAAAACCATCCATCTATGGACTGGAAAACATGGAGTAGAGCTTTAGATATAAGCTTTGCTACCAGAAAAACGATTTACACACGATTTCCATTCATACGTCCGACAAAAGCTTAATCTTCTGTGTGACTTCCCCACTTCTCCTTAACCTGGCACATCCCAAAAGCTTTTAATCGGATCCAGAGATTACCTATGATTTCATGTCATACGAGCAGGGCTATGTCTGGAAGATGGCCGCCATCTTGAAAGTCGCCTATATTGGATCAAGATCAGATTTCCAACGTCTCTTGTGGTTAAAAAGTTGCCACAAAAACTGAGCATCTTTCCCAAAAAGAGATACTGCAAATCTATCTGTTTCTGGGACAATGCTGCTCTTCTTTGATATGCCACATGACCACCGTCCCATTAGAGAAACATGGCCTTCATCCAATATGGCGGCTTTCAAGATGGCGGCCATTTGTCAGCAATGCTCAAACTTGATAGTTTAGGACTTTAATTCCAGTCCCCAAAAAACAGTCCAGACTTTTAAATCTTCCCACTCGACAAGCTCACTGTTTGTTTGACGTAAGCATCAAATCTATGTAATAATAGTTTAATAAAAGAAATGTATGTAAGATTTTTTTTTAAAACAACTGAAGAAGCAGCGGATCAAACTTGTTATCCCAAAAACTTTGTTTATAGTGAGTGAAATGAGTTGTGAGCCACATCTGTACATGTGCAGTAGTCAAAGTTTACATGAATGTTCATGAAATGTCCCTTTTTACAGAGAATTGTGACTTCTTAGTGCTAAAATGCCAATAAATCTAAATTAAACTAAGCTGACTGCTTATGAAAAACTGAAAAAACTCAGAGAATCCATCTTTTTTCCGTAAAGTAGGAGTTTTTAATATAGTTTTGATGTCTTTTCAGTCCAAATCGAGCAGGAGCCCCTAGTTTTTCCTAGAATCTGTTCACAGGAGCGTGAACCTGTGGACACAGGCATTTTTCCTCCGTTCCTCTGTGCACTCGTCCTCATCGTCACATGCTCATCCCATGTCTCTTCAACCACTTTTCCTGGAAAGCTCGTAGAAAGTTATGGGCTTCCTTCAAAGTGTGACTTTCAGAAAAAGTCCCGTAAATGTTTGTTTTTGCAGGCAAAGCCCCAACGATGTTTGCATCTGGGTCCTTCCACTTATCAGCCCGTCGGGCCGCAGCCTAACGAGCTGTTAAATGAGCTCCGCAAACAGTTTGCTCGTAAAAAGAGACGTTTATGGTGGGTCAGGATCCAGTTTTTAGAGCTCCTCTGCTCTAGGGAGGGTGGTTGAAGTCAGCTTCCCGCTTTGCACTAACCTATGGTTTAAATTTCTTCTGTTTAACCTTTTAAATGTGTCTAAAAATACACGTTTGCTTCATGATTTATTTACTACTCATTCATGCATGGTTTTATCTAGTTATTTACTTGTTTTAATATTATCTCAGTTCAATTCACTATTAATGGTAAAAGTAACTTTATTTAAAAATGTATTTTTTTTAATAAACATTTGACTCTTTTATCTGTCTTAAATGACCAGTCTGTTTATTTGTTATGAAGCCAAAAAAGTATTTCCATGCATTTATTTATGTATTTTTTTTATTAATGAATTATTTTAAAGCAAGTTTCAATATCCATTTATTGATTTTAGTCTGTCATCTTTTATCTGTTTGAAATTATTTCTTAGTTAAGGATTTTTAATAAGTTATAGAAATGTCACCTAACAACTGTTAAAGAAAAATAAAATTTCACAGATTATTAGAAATATTTTTAGACTTATGATCTAAAAGAGAAACAAATTGTTCAACCTGAGCAGTGAATTCCTACTTTGAATCAACTCGTTTGAAACAGCACTCATTCATAATTCAAAAATATTATTTGCTTTGTTTTTACTTTCATTTTTTAAGATTCTCTTTAAAAACAGACTTTGAGAAGATGTCTCAATAAATCAAACAAGTGAATATTTCCTGTTTCAGTCTTGGAACAAAACAACATCTTCCTTTATTTTCAAAATGATTTTTAAAAAAAACACGTCTGACACTCTTCCTTAAGACAGATTTTTGCTGTTAAAATCAAATTCAACCATCAGAATCCATTTAATCCTCTCTGCTCTACACTTTTAAACAAACTAATCTTTCTCCACTTTTAATAAATGAGTTCCTTTCATTATTAGTGAATAATTAAACAGTGTT